GATTATTTTGTTATCCCAGTTAAATGTTAAGATTGTTGAGCCGTCTAGTCTTGCTGAAGAAGTAAACGAACAACGTATTGATCACCTTCTAAATTACATCGGATCAGAGACAGAAGCATCAGACTGGAAGAAGCTCCTACAATGTTGGAAAAAGTTTACCAATTCATTTCGAAAACAAGGTTTTTCAAACCTGAAGCTGATATTTTGCGGTCAGTATGGTGAACGTGTTAAGATTCAGTGTGGGAGTCGAAAAATGACAATCATTGTTCTTTTGAACATAAAACAACACGAGGAAATCGTGGTACGTAGGCCATTTACGGTATTTTAAAAATGCTAGACTCTTCAACGATTAAAGCATATAGAAGTGAAGACCATCTGCCAATAAATTGGGAACATTTATAAACTCAACAAAAACTAATTAGCTCAAGATAAGTAAGTTCTAAAATTAAATTCACATAATAATGAGCATAACGACAAATTCGCTGAAGACTTCTCAGTACTAAAAACATTTAAATACTAGCCAATCTTTATATTAATTCCTATAAAAGCATATTATTGGTAAAGTCTTATTTATCTATTCCTGCTGTTAATTAATTTTCAAATTTAAACAGTTTCGAGTGGACGAGATCAACAAACGCACTCTTGGACGACTGATAATCGCATTGTGTGGTAACGAAGGCGCCAGACAAACTAGTGAACAGGCCGGACTAAGAAGGCTTCTACAAGCATTCATCACCAAAATAGAGGGTGAACAAGTGAAACAATTCAACGACGTTAAATTATCACTTTATGGTCAGGACAATCTATCATTCCATATCCAAGCTGGAAAGTCACTTAACCCAAAACAAATTGTGGGGTATGCTGATTCCCAAGGTGAATTCCACATAAATGAAAAGGAAGAGTCCTGCTGTTGCATTATTTTGTAATGCATTTTGTTTGTTTCCCTACCTCCTTTTCTACTAGACTACAGGAGGAACATTGAACAAATATTGTAGTAGTATTATTCTGTTATAGATTTCCAAACTTGCAATTACTTGTTACTGAGATGCCTTAGTTCATGATAAACATGTTCAGATTGTTTGTATTGCTAGTAGCTGCTTCTACAAGCTTGAGTACACTGATTACAATGGGCCAATGGCACACCACTACACAAATTATGACATGATCTGAACGTTAGAGGGCGCCTAACACTAATTGCAGG